ATTCATTCGAGCATGAAGAAGACAAACATTTTAAGAAATAAGGTAGAGACAGAACTGAATACAAAAATATCTCATCAAAAATCTAAGAAAGCATTTGATTATGTGTACTGTACACGTGAAAAAAGTTGCTCAGAAAAAATTTCGATAAAAAAAATGTATCTCATTTACACTCAAAAATTCAAATCTTTGAGGTACAATGGTCGTTTTTTGTTAGAAATAACGTTTCAACCACTTTTATGAATAAATCTGACGAAATTTGGCAGAAAAACGAGTAAAAAAAGTGGAAAAAAAGAAAATGTCGAAAAAATCGGCAAAAACACGATTTTTTTGTGTGTTTTTTGAAATAAACGAAAAAAATGCATAAAATTTGACTAAAAGTTGCTACTGGTGTTCAAAAAACGTCAAAAACCGACATGTCTGTCTGCTTGGGCAAGACTTGAAAAAAATTATGTCACACTTTTTTTTCTCATACATTTTCTTTTCACTTTTCATACATTTATTTCAATGATCTATTACTTATATCATACCATTATATATCTTATAGTGCCCTGTATCAAACACCCAAGTATGGTGATTAAACAATAAGAAATTGTTGTAAGAGAGATGACCAGACAATCCNTTTGATTATCAGAAATTTACTTTAAAGCCTCATTATGGGCACGAAAGATTATTATATCAGTTAATAATTCAACAAGTTCTACAAATTGGAATTACTAAAAGTTAAATAGCGTTTGATCAGTTGTATATGTTCCCTCGTAAGATATTTTATGCTAGTTTTTTTTCCGTTGTCGAAAATTTGATAATTGATAGAATACTAATAATTGTTGTTATAATTAACAAACAAATTCATTTCTTTAATAAAATATTTCTTATCCATTAAAATAAACTCATTAAAATTACTCTTTCAAAAAGACTTTCATCGCTCATATCTTTGTGAAATGAATTTTTTTAGAAAAAAAAATTTATTTAGGTTTTCTTAATCTCTTCATCTTTAATAAAATTACTCAAACATTCCAATAAGCGACATTCAATATAAATCATAAATTTGAACAATTTTTGGACACAAATGAATACTTTGAAACTTACGGATGGGTGTGTGATTATGAATTATCAATGACGAGAAGATCAACGAACACCCTTATCATAGTTTGTTAGAATTTTTAGGATATTCTAATGATCATGACACTTCTTTACAGGAACATTTTTAGATCAAAATATTATCTTTCAATTTTTCGATGAACGCTTTATCTCACCAGCAATAAGTTCTAATTTTGAACAAAACATGAGCTCAAAGTCGAGGAAACATTTCAGGCACCTTCTTTGTACGTTCATTACAAAAAAAGAAACCTTTTTCAAACAGTTCGTTGGAGTCTTAGTCTTGAGCAGTGTTTGCTTTATAAATATTCAAAAACAAGTTAAAATGAGCTAAAATTTTGTACTGCAGTTCTCGATCATGCTCTTTCATTTGGAATAAAAAAAAGCATAAGAAAACTTTTCAAGAGTATGACTATGCTCGATGAAACCATAAACCCTATCTTAAATAATAAATATAAATATTAGAGAAACACAAAGCAGTACGCATTCGAATTCCTCATATGAAATCAAATTTAATTAAGCTTTTAACCTTGATATCACTATCTGAAATCTCTGTTTTTTTTTCTTTAACTCAACACTATTCCATTTTAGACCGAAAGTAGGCTCCTCTAGATCTGCATTAAAGAATGGTAGTAGATTATTTTCATTATTTCCAAAAGGCCATTTCAATCGTTGTTGTTAACGGAATATATTGAGCAGAAATACTCGTGAGAGCTATTATTTCGATCTGTTTTTGAAACTTCAAAAGAATGAAAAATTTGGGGTATGAATGTGTGGACGCTGGTGTGGGTATCGATATGAGTTTAGCTTATGGTTGAAAAGAATATCAACGAACATACATCCTTCTTGGCAATACATTTTTTGCAAAAAAACAGCAATCCAGGTGAAACGATCTCAGTCGGATCTTGCCAGTTCGGAATAATTTCGGTCGGATCCTGTCCTATATTTGTCTGATTCTCATCAGACGGATTTCGGTCCAGATTTCATCGGAATTCGACAGAATGTGGTAAAATTTGACCTGATTTGGGACAGATTTCATCGTGTTCCGTCGAATTCCGATAAAATCCGAACCGGAATCCGGTTGATGATAATCCGACAAAAGCCTGGTCGCATCCGATCGGTTCTTTATGAAGGACGACGGATTCCGAAGAAATCTGAGGCAGATCCGATCGTTTTCGATTGAATCTACAGGTCGGATTGAATCTCCTGAGAAAAAAAACCAGCGTTTTGTCATTTGTTCTTTTAGTTTTTTTTTAGTAATTATAGTATCGATTTGAACCATACACTATGAGTCTCGTCGCAATAAATTCATAATAATTTAAACATTTTCACATATGCTCTCTCTTTTTCAGTATAATAAAGGAAGATGTTGATCAATTCAAAAAGTGATATGAAATGTCTTCTCCCAGATTTTAGAGGCTATATGTCATTTTGATGCAATGGTAATTTTTTTGTGAGCATATGCATCTGTGTGTAGCTTATCTTAACGATTGTGTCTTTATTGTTATCGAACGCACTATGTCAATAAAAACTAAATGTCGTGTAACTCGATCGAAGAAAAGAAAAAAAAACGAAGAAACATTTGCAAGATATATATCAAAGGAAAAAGATTTATCTGAAAATTTTATTGTTATGGCTCATTCTCAATTATCTACTGAAAACTTGTATAAGATTGATTGGAACTTGCCTGATGATAAAGTGATGGTACAAATAAATAGGTTGATTGAAAAATTGAAAAATAAGGAAGTTGAAGTAGAAACGATTCTGCCAAAGTATGAAGGTGGTTTGGAGGGTGTGGGTGTGGGTGTGGGGTGTGAGTGTAACTCTTCTCTTCTCTTCATACCCACACCCACACCCACACCCTTTGAAAACAATATAATCATTTTCACCGACATAATTAATAACAAGTAAACAGAATGGAATGAGAACTGTCGTCTTCATTCAATCGGACAAATTTCATTAAATTAAAATGTGTCTTCGATACTATTTATTTCAATGATAGTTAAGTAGTGGCTTCAAAAGCTACACAGAAATAATAGCACGTAAGCAAATTAACAAGAATCGAAGCACAGATACATGAAACTATTGACTGAACAAATAACAGTCGTAAAGATCATGGATGATTCAATAGACTTATCTGCATTTGATACATATTACGCACCACTATATTTAAATTCTTTGATGTGACCTTATGGTCTGTATTATTTTGAATTATTAATACATTTATAATGTCTTGCAATATCTCTATTGATCGCTATTATATAGGTAACAACGACGATATGTTCTTTTTCATGAACTATATTAATTGAATAGAGAGATAAATTATATATTACATAGGGAACTGTTATAACGATTTAGTTATTTTCATTGAAATAAAAAAACATTATAGAATAATAGAAAGAAGAGAGAGTTTTTTTTCTAATTCTGGATTAACGTGGCAACACAAATTGTTTTTCTCATTCTTCATTGATCCATCGTAAAAGGAAGAAAAAAAATTATCATTGTAACACCTTGTCGTGCTAAAATATGGACACTCACAGTTTTGGATGTCAATATATGAGATATATCTATGATCCAGAAATTAGGGATTGAAGGCAGTCAAGGAATTCCTTGATTTTTTTTTGAATTTTAATTTTCTGGATCGTGTTGATTGTGGTTGGTACAATTTACTTGTTAGTAACTTTTAGTCATGTATGCAGACTGGTTAGTGGAATAAAAAATTTTATAGTGAACTATTTTCGATTATTAATGTTGATGCACGCTTCCAATTAACATGTAAAAATATGTAAATTAAAAAAAAACCTAACTTTTAAAGATGCTTTTTTACATAGTGTAAAATCTGACTATGAGAAAAGAGAATCATAAAAAGTTTTGAAGATTTTTCTACAACGCTTATAAAACCACGTTTGTTCAATCAGTAAGTAAAAATGAATGTTTCCAAAAAGTATTTAGACACTAGTTTTTTGAAGCCCCAGTGTATTACTAATAGAAGTCATGGCATTAAACGCATGTTTGATGATTCAATAGAGTGTGATTATAACAAATCTTGACGCCATTATTCAGCTTATTTTACATTTTTTTCACGCGAAGATGTATTAAGTTCATGTTAAGAATAATTGAATAGATTCTAAACAATGAACAGGAGAGTCAGCCCTTGCTACAATAAACGGTAAGAACCAATTGTGTTTTCTGTTTGATATATCTGTTTCACTCGTACATGCAGTCGTGTCAGTTGACTAGATGAACTTCCTACTTTTATTTTTCTAACAGACTATGTTTATCAAGGTTCATGTTTGCTGAGTTTAATGCACGTTCTGATAAGAGAGTCAACAGGTAAACGTATCCTAAATAAATGAGCAATGATCATTTTTCTGCTAGATGATGTTCATCTGTGTCTTTAGAGTACTGTGAAGTTAGTATAGAGTGGATATAAGTCTGAATTTGTATGCATGTAGGTCATTCTTTTGGTTCACAGCTCTATTCACAATTGTCTTATTGACATTCAGATGAAATACAAATTAAAAAAAGAATATGTACAATGCCTAATCAATTGGTTCTTATTTTCTGAAACTCATAAACAAGTGAAGAAAGTCGATCGATCGATAGATATTCATTGATTCAAACTAAATCAACTATATTTTGTTTGAAAACAATCATTCCTAAACGTGTAGCTCTAAAACTTTGACACGGTGTGAATGTGCTGAACTTAATTACAATTTTATTCACACTTATGTATCGAATACTATTAAGATTCGTCTTTCTCAACCTTTTCCGAAATATAAATTAGAGCAAATTAACTTTGATTTTAATCGAGCGGAAATCCAAAGAGTGTCCACAAAATTGATAATAGATCTGGGTCATTTATATGAAAGATGATACTAATTTTAAAAAAACAGTACTGAAAACTAAATCGAAGGATATAGGAATGAAAACTGTTCATTTGAAATGAAGTTATTAACGACATCGGCGATTATTTCGTGTACACTGGATGTAAAATGAAACTTGTCAATGAACACATATTTTGATGGATCTGCACCGTGCATTACAACAGAAGTGCCATTCACTGTATCCCAACATTGATCGACGATATTAGTAAATTGTCCTAACTCATTGTCTATAATTTTCTTAATGATCGAATAGATATTAAACACTGTCAAAGACACTTGTGAGTTGTCTTTCTGAGTTCTCTTTAGACGAAGGGAGAGAATGGTATTGAATAGTAATGTGAGGTTTTTAAAAACGAAGTCAAGACCGAGTGCATGAATATATGGAAAAGCTTGGGCGGGTGGTTGATTGAAAACAAGAATATGTTGCGCACCAAAGGCAATAAGGTCATCAATTGCATTTGACAGACCATTAACAACTACAAATGGATTTGGAATCTTACTAAAAACAAAATCGTTACCACCACCCGACACGATATAGAGTGTATGTACAAAGTCAATAGTTCGTTCTTTAGCACTATTTATATAAATTTCAATTTGTTGACGAATGCCAGGTACAGGTACTGTATCTGATTTTGTATATCCTTGAACCACTGTATTGTCGGTTGTTGCACCTCCATAGGCATAATTCTTTACATTCGATACTCTCAATCTATCTACCCAAATGGAATCGTTGCTAAATCGACCTTGGTGATATGGTGGTACGATAGGCCATGTGCCATTTGTTAACTTATAAACATTGTTGGTGTCTGAAAGCGAATCACCAAAGATTACTACTGTGTGAAATCGATGTTGTTCAGTGTTTGCTTGAGAAGCAAGTATCATGGTCAGATACAAGACGTAAATGATTTAAGAAGAAAACTAAGATATTACGATGCAATAAAATCTGGACTAATGTTACAACTTGCATAATTATTTTACTCTAATATATACTATCAACATGACAGAAGGCAAAACAGAATGGTAAGAAAGAAAAACAAATTTGAGGGGGCCGCTTTGCTATTCTTATGCGTGGACCATAATAGCTCACCTACATATAGTGCTTGATCATGCGAAACTTCCCTTCGTCAACATGCGTCAAGTGTGACGTCTTTGATGACTCAAGGTAAATAATCATACTAAGATTGTTAGTGTCATGGTTGTCGTGAAATTACAAGAGGATGAATAACGAATTCAAGCATGTTAGTGCGTGCGTTAGGATTGTTCGCTGCATCATCTTTGAGTATGGGCAGCTTTCTATGAGTCAATTATTTATTAAATTGTTCATAGTTATCAATTCGAAGATGAAATAACAAAAACAAAAAGTAAAGCTGCTCTAGAACTAAAACAGAGCCTCAACTTATTAAGCGAGTCAAGTGCATCTGCTTCGATCGAAGATTGATTGTAAATATTAGGTATTTTACAACATTCAGAAGTGATATTACTATTATCTTGACATGGCACAACAACTCATTCTATTGCATGAAAAATTTAAATGAAAAAAAGTGTGCTTATACGCATCAATATTTTTTTAAAACGCATCTTCATGTTGAACAACTAAAGTTCCTTGACTGAAGATGATGCTGTTATTCAAATGTAGCAGTATTTTCATCAAACATCTTAATAGATTTTGAAAAGAATTCTATGCATCCAACAAGTGATTTATATGTATTTATAAGTATACGACCGTTGTTATCAAGATAATGAGTGTGGCAAACGAGATTCGCAAAAGTCGAGACTTCAAGCTCTCTTTCATCGTATATTAAAAAATCCACAACATTTGCTACAATCAGCATGATGAGTGAAAAACTTCAGAATGTAAAGTATCTAGGCTAAACTAGAGACAACTAGTTTTAAACAGGAAATATTTCTTAATACATTCGTGCCAAGAGAGACGATTAGACAGATTATTGGGTGTCATACATAAAGTTAAACTGTTTTTTAAGCTAAAATACAATATTTAGCCGATAGATCGAATATGTAGGTTTATATTTGCAAAAACTTGAGGTCTGAAAATTCTTGGCGACCACTTGTGGATTCAGAATCTTTGATCAAGAAAACCTTTGATTGTACTTAATGAAAAATCGTTACTTTCTTGACAAAAATCAAGCTTCCAAATTTTGCTTTATTCAATAAAGTAACTGTCTTGTAGCACTAACTTATCTTTTCTACTGTTAATACCATAAGATAACAATGCCAATAGTACAAAACTGCAGTTTCTTATGCAAAGAGCTGTTTCAAAAGAATAAACGCTTTATTGCCAATTATTGTTGTGAGTACAATTAACACGTTTCTTTTGTGTAAGAATATGGTCATTATATTATAGAGTGTGGTCCTAAAGAATTTTAAACAGGAGACGGATAGAAGAACCTAGATGTAGATCGTAGTTGTTTAGCAAAAAGAACCAAAAGTCAGGTCGTATGTGATCTTTTAAGACTTTATCTATATAAGGTTTTCTATAAAATCTTATGCAAGTACCAATCCTGTTGATAAACTCAATACATTTTGCAAGGTTTAGAAATTAAGAAACGCATAATAACTAGCTCAATGACTCTTGTCAAATCAGATATGACTATATAAGATTCGTCCAAGCAGACACAGACAGAAGTACGTAAGTCTAATATTGCATGCTTCTATCTGATCGTATTCGATCTGACATTTTTTTTCGATTAGAAAATTGAGGATCAAATCTTTTTTTTTTGTATTAAGAAATGAAAATAATAAATGTAACCGTGTTGAATTGACTAATGTTTAATATTTGACAAATTTTAAAGTGATTTTAATTTTAATAAAGTTCTTATTGAAACTTAGTCTAAACACTATTGATCAGTCGATACTATGAGAAATGAAACTCAGATAAAAAACTCTGTATGTGTAATAATATTAAAATCAAATATTTCCTCAAGATAATACTAAAAGCTACTACTTCCGAGCAAATTTAGTTTATTTGGCTGATAGTCTTAGTAATATGTCTCTTACACTGTAATGCATGAATTCAATGCTTACTAGTTTTGTTAGTGTCGAAAAAGAGAGAAACTAATTCTAAAAACAGTCGAAGTAGCTAATTTAAGTCAGATCTTAGTTTCCATGTCCTGTTCTTATTGTTACTAAGTTTCTGATAAATGAACAATAACAGGCGCACAAAGTACGATTTACAGTTTTTTCCGACACATCAGAAGAGCAAAACTTCGGTATTTTTTACTACATTGAACTTTAGTGCAAAAATCTATATTATTTGAAACTATACATCTGATTATTCCTTGTATTTCATTGCTTTTCAGATCAATGGTCATAATGAACACAAATCAATATTTTCTCATTCCAGTTTTAGAGCAATTTTATATGATTCTCCAAAATTTTTGTTGTTTCAAATGGTTTCAACTGTATGCTGTATCAAAGATATTGTTGCAAAAAGCAAAAAACAATTAAGAAGAATTAAACAAAGCATTGTGATAGTTATGAATATCGCACATATTTATCAAACAATATTATGGCATTTGAGAAAAGAAATATTCAATAAAAAAAGAAAATCATTTTATTTTGAATTTGAAAGTTATACAAAGAAAATAATAAGCTGCTAAGCCAATTAATTAGTTGGCTTTTGATCAAGACATACTATTTTAACCAAATGATAATGATGATTCAGCTATAGAGATTTCTAGTACTATATGTTTTAAGCTCATCACGAAGCACTATTAATATGGGAGTATACAAAATCTTTCAAGCTTTGTAAAAATGCTCCGAAATTTATGAAACTAGAGTTATGCCTAATTCAATCTTGATTACTTCTTCATATTACTATCATTGTCGTTATATTTTAAACAGTGGAGTTGGATGAGTTCTTAATTATGGCAAATGAGAGAGAATGAATGTAATTAATTTTCAAGTTTCATCAGAGTATAAATGTATTTTTATGATACAGATAAAAATTTTAATCTCGTGTTTTTGGTGATAGTTTGAAAATTGTGCGGATGTTGATGTTCTAGTAGAAACCAAAAGGAAAAAACGATATTCTTCTATATGAATCGAAACCGTCACATACATCAGACGATGAATGAAGATCTTCTCTTCACCTACAATCACAAAAACCATAGAAAATGATGATTAGAATTTCATCGAGCTCCTGTGGCGCAAGGGTAAACGCATCCGGCTTTGAACCGGGAGATAGATGGTTCGAATCCATCAAGGAGCTTTTTTTGTTTGCTTTTTATTTCTTTTATTGCGCAAGGTTTTCGAAACGTAATGAGGTAATACCTATGACAGAGGATTTATGATAGATAAATGATAGAGATCATGTAAACTACAGATAATTCTGGAATGGCGGGTAAGTTTTCTTTCCGAATATGATGCTCAAAACACGATTGCATACTGTGTAAGATAAGAGGCGATTTAAGAATCTGAAAAGTGTTGTTGGATTTTGATAGGTCATTTATTGAAAGCTTTGCAGTATTAGGCACTCTTTTAAGTATCATTTCTACAAAGAAAAATACTGAGTATATAAATATGATATAGAATTCATAGGAGCATTGCTAGTTTTTTAGTTATGAAGTAAGAATTTGATCTGATAAACACTTTGCTTTTAGCAAGTTTTCGTTGTTGGAGTATACCTGTTTTTTTTCTTTCCCTACCTACATAGACTTGCATCTCTTGGATAAATGTCACCAAAAACTCATGTAAAATATCGGTGAAAGAATTCGCTCAACAAGAATAACTATGTCAGGGCTACAGTTCAAAGTCATAATGACTCAAAATTTAAGGATAAAATCTTACTGTTCGCAAAGAAGAATACCTAATGTATTTTTGATACAAGCCACATCTCAAAAATTGACTTTGGAACAGTCACAATTAGAAGAAAGTTGTGCAAGAAAATAGTGTCAACTATTATCTACAAATATATTTTTCTTCCATTCTCTGTTGCAAGTATTACATAATTATGTTTCGAAAATCTTGCGCAATAAAAGAAATAAAAAGGAAACAAAAAAAGCTCCTTGATGGACTTGAACCATCTATCTCCCGGTTCAAAGCCGGATGCGTTTACCCTTGCGCCACAGGAGCTCGATGAAATTCTATTCATCATTTTCTATGGTTTTTGTGAGTGTAAGTAAGGAAAAGATCTGCATTCATTCCCTGATTTATATGACAGTTTCGTCTCACCTAAGAAAATACTTGTCGATAGTGTTCAACCTTAGCTATGAATGCACTAATGAATAGAACCGACGATAAACATCACCAAGTTAAGATATGAAAACATATTGACTGCCTCGTCTCGCTTAGCGGTAGCAACAACAGTGGAAATAGCCGATGCTTCAAGGAAAACTGTTAGCACAATCCGCTTCATTTTACAAGATCTTCTACTATAAACATGAGAGGAACAGCAAACACTTTTTAAGCACACATCAGGATTTATCTTTCACATCGTTGCATGTATGGGTCGTCTCTTCATCCACATCGATGTTGTATCCAATGAAAAGCTATTTCTTTTACTCTTGTACTAGAATTTTCTTTGGATGATTCGAAAGAAGCATAAGAAATGGTGAATAGAGTTTTATCGAGCTCCTGTGGCGCAAGGGTAAACGCATCCGGCTTTGAACCGGAAGATAGATGGTTTGAGTCCATCAAGGAGCTTTTTTTGTTGCGCAAGTTTTCGAAACATAATTATGAAATAGGTACGATGCAGAACAAAAAGAAGAGTATATCTGCACAAGAAAAAGCAAAAAAACGAGTCAGCTCATCACTATTTCGATGGAGCATATTACGAAGATATTTCGTGGCTAGACGTGCGTGTATAGTGAACCAACACCTACATCTACAATATTACATAATAAAATCTGAGTTTAGATTAAGTTCAGATGAACACATATCCACACGTATCATGCATTCACATCTTCAAGAATCCCATAAGAAACCAAGGCATGACGTTTTTAGCTGTTGCGAAGTCTTTTCAACGTAAATTCAAGTCAACGTTTGTGTACTAGCCTTGCGGACTTCTTTGATGTTTTTACATCACATAGACTTAATTAACAGAAGAAAAGGAAGAATAGTTCGACAGATCCATGATTATTTTTCTTCTGCTTATTCCAAATTTGATACCTTAGCTATACTTGGAACTGTTATAACTATCTGTGTAAGAATTCATCTGTTAATGCCGAAATGAATAAAGTCTTCCTCAATGTCCTATTTCTGCATTCTCTGAAAATATTAGTCTGATTTGTGAAACCTTTAGAACAGCTTTAATGTTGGATTCATCTGGTACTTTTTCAGTTGACAAAAGTATGCCATCGAAGCAGACAAAGAATTCATGACTTTGTTTTCGAACAAATGGTGTTTTTGTCCTAGCATATGGGTTCTTGTTCATCGGCAATAATTATCTTATCCTTTTTCTGTTCTCTTCCCAAATATAGTTATCGAAAAAACCAAGGGGGAAAAGCGGATCCTCGGATCCTTGGATTCTCTTGGATCCTTTGAGATCCTCTTGGGATCCCAAAGGATCCAAGAGGATCCAAAAGGATCCAAGAGGATCCAAAAGGATCCAGAGGATCCAAGAGGATCCAAGGATCCGAGGATCCGCTTTTTCCCCCTTGGGTAGGATTGTTGCAATAGAAAAGACTCATACACATTCTCACCCATACCTCACACTCACCATGTAAGAAAATATAGGCAATTAATTTTCTTTTGCAAGTATGAGCATATTTCGACCTTATTTTGCATGCAGTATTCATTACGTATAAATCACCGAAGGAAATCGTTTCATACACAATGTATGCATTTTGTAAGGCTAAGTTCGTGAGAAAGTGTGTAGCAAAAAAAAAGTAAATGGAGAAAATTCAACATACTAACGATGAGTAAGAAACATATAAAGATGCCTTACTACAAAGGTAAAAAGAAATCATTTTCAAAAACAGGTAAACGGTGTTATATATTCATAATCAAGCCAAATGAACAATACGTCAGTATTAAGTTTTTTCAATATAGTAGTTTTCATTGTCATGAGTAATATATCTGAAAAATGCTTCAAGTAGAAATAAGTTTACCAAATAATACACACATAACACTAATCTATTTAGCACAATGAGACACAACTTATTAGATATGAAACTGTTGTCGATGATCGATTTATAAGTGTCTGGTATTTTTTATTGATAGTCTATACTTGAGGGCGTGGATGTTTTTACCTTCACCCACACCTACACATGTAAATAGTAAATCTAAGGCATCAGACAATTTACTTTAGTGACGGCTGCTGCAGTCAAAACAGTTACCATACGTAATCGACCAATAATGATTGAAGATTGTAAAACGTTCAATTCAAATTGGATCTATAAGTCGCCTTGACAATGTCCAGTTTAATTTTTTGTAAACCATAATTCCAACTCTCCACCATTACTTAATTTTCGTAGATCTTCCTCAGATCTATAAATAGACACTGTCTGCCAAGCGTTTCGTTCATATAAGTCAGGTAATGGATCATTAACAATTCGAATATTGTATCCACGAGAGACGAAGAAGTTGAGATATTCATATGGATCGGACTTTTTATCTCGCATCATTCTAGGAGAAAACTCTGATATAATGTGACGAACTCGATATCGGTCAAATAATCCAATGCCACTAAGTATTGCATGTAATTCGGATCCTTCAACATCTATTTTCATTACATCGATATCCTCAGCAACTAAGGCATCAAGTCGCGTACTGTTTATAATCTGTCTGATCGAGTAACCTGCAGGTACTAGCACATTGATGTCCTTTAATGATGATATGCCACAAACTACATGACCATCGCCAATATTACGATTGTCACTATAGAGTATACATTTGTCCGGTATTGCACTGAGGGCATTTGAATGCACAATAACATTTTGCGATAGTTGTGATACCTGTAGAGATGCTTGTAGGAGCTTAACATTAATATCCATTGGCTCTATTGCTATCACCTTATGACCGAGTACTGATATGACGAGGGTGAACCAACCGATGTTAGCACCAATATCTAAGAAAACGGCAGGTTGCGACGGAGAATTTGCTAACAGCAACGAAATAAACTTTGTCGCATGTGACATCCATGATCCAGATTTGGCGATTGAATTTGAGACAATGTCATTCGACAATAAATGTATACAAAAAGGACGAGAGCCAAGAAACGTAATATTAATGCCACCTCTATTACTCCAACAAGGATATGCTTCTGTACTAAAATGAATAGGTGTTGATGTCGATATGATATAGAGTTGTCTTTTTCTGTTCATATAAATAAATCCAAAAATAAATAAAATAAGCAACAATATAAACAATATCCATCGACGAATTTGACGTGAGAAAAACTGCTTCATTGTCGATACATATCAACAAAAAAAATATTGATAACACGATGCTCGAGAATGGAGTTGAATCATCGATTAAAATATTCTAAACAGCACTTAAAAAAATCAAGCAGCGTCATACGACAGATGAGGATAAGATTACTGAATAAATAGTTTTAGTTAAAGAAACGGTTATATAGAAGACACATGTCTTTATTTTACTTTCTTTTTTTATATATTAGATAATAGTTTGAAAATGCATAGATAAGAACGAAATAGCAGTGGCATTTGAGTCAACATAGATTAAAATGAAGCTATCAAATTGAAACATGTTAAGGTTGGTTAATATCCATTCAAAATGCAAAATGACATTGTCAAACTATTGCATATGGTCCTATTTAGATCCCAAACTAATACATTAATCATCATGTATAATCTAAAGATTTTACTCGCTCCGTATTTGAAAAAGTACAAAAAAGTGATTATTAAGTACTAAAGTTACAGCAAAATAACTATATGGGCAACTACTTAAAGATAGAAATTTTTTTTTAAGAAAGTACTTACCTATATCACAAAAACTGTCGGTTAACCGGCAACAACAGCTAGTAACTTTCAGACATCTAGAGAAAAAACACAAACTCGTGACTGAGAATAAAAAAAAATATTTGACAATATTTAACATGATATAAGTCATGTTCGCAAATATTCAGGTGAGAAGAAAGAAAAAAAAACTAGTATATAAGTTCTGAGCAATGAGAAATCACTATATACACTTCAGATAAGATTTCAACTAGGACAAACTTTTATGTTATATGGATAATTACTGCTGGTTCAGCGTACTCAAACTGATAAACAATCAAACTTCGAACGATAAATCCTTTTTTTTTAAATCGATACAACTCTATATCTATAATGTGTATTAAAGATAATGGGTGAAGTGTCAGTTTTCACCACATCGGTATTTTTATTACTTCTTCAAAGTTCCCAACACTATGAAACCTTCATTTTTTTACATCGGTCATTCATCAACAAAGTAAATCAATATTATGATAATAATATCGAGTGCTCGATAGGAATAACTAATCAATACTTATTTCATAAATCAATAGAGGAAAAGTGATATGACTTCAAGGGGGAAAAAGCTGAATTTTTGATTGTTTTGATTGCCAATGATTGTCATTGATTGTCAGTGATTTGCAATGGTTTCCAATGATTGTTTATACTCTTTTATATCGAAAAACGAAGGCTGCGTAAATACAGATACAATTTGTATTCCTCGAAACGACGAAGAACTACTAGCACAAAAATGTATCGTCTTGTATCGACATGTATCAGATCCAGGTATCGGTATAATACCATGTATATCCCCCAAAAACTTAGAGTCCTAGAATTCTAGGTTTTCGAGGGTTATGCATGGTACTATACTGATACATGAATTCTAGAATTCTAGGTTTTCGGGGGACACACATCGTATTATACGAATACATGGACCCGATACATGCCGATACAGGGGGGTATATTTTTGTGCAAGTAGTTCGTTGTTTCGGGGAATACAAGTTATATTCGTATTTGCGCATCTCTGAGCTATTGGTGGTGGAATGATCAATACCGTGCTCGAAGTTGACTAGGTTGAAGAATTAATCGATTGAAGTCGTTGTTATGTCCAGAGTGTTTCCCTCTGTACATAAGACGAAGATTAAGTGTCTCTTCTAGTCTAACTGGCTTAGGACATCTGCCCGGATAGCAGAAGATACGTGGTTCGAGTCCCGTGGAGAGTATCTTTTTCTTCGTTCTGTGGTCGTTCCAACTCGCTGCATTGTCCTGTATGATTCATACGACCTACGAATCATAACAGTCGTTCAGCTTGCTTGTTGATTTCTTCTCATTTCTCTGTAAGGATTTTTTAAAGATTAATGATTGATGATTCTATACCTGGAAGAAGAACAACAGATCCATCACTTAATCTAATGCACGTGTTTTTCTTCAATTCATCTAGTTGATCAGCTTTCAATTGAAGTACAGCAGTAACATCTTCACATCCAAGAAATGAGTCAACTCCATTGCATTCTTGAAATGCAAGTAGTTCTGCTACCTTTTTTCCAGAAAATTGTCGAATNTTCGCTTGCTCCTCCTCCCCCCCCCCCCCCCCCCCCCCCATTAGAGACACATTGCGAAGGAAAGAAAACATCACAGACGCACTTCATATTACAGACACCTTCCATTACAGACGGGCCACCATTACATACATTAGCAACCTCCCACAAAAGACATCAGATTCTGTACAATATTTCAATGTTTTCATTAACGCTCTAAAGCAACTATTTTTCAATTTATAAACGATGCATTAGGATAACAAGTTTTGAAAGATATACCTGAGTTCAACCATCCAGCTCCTTTGGATCTGCGCTAAAGAAGCTTTTGGACCTTCTTTTAGTGAAATTAGCCTTCAAAAGCTATTGCTTAGAATCATGCAAAACCACGTTTTTTCTGCTTAAAGTATTTTTGATCTATCTTCCCATAAACAAATGCTTTTCAAGAATCTTTTTTTATCAAAACACTTAGAGTTAAAAGGTCTACAAACGCTGAAAATGTCATCAAAATTGGTGGTTATTTTTGTATCCATATTCAGGACCTCATGGAGTACAATATGCGAAAAATGGACATTTTTACCCTACTCTATTTGAAAAAGTCTTAAGTCGTGGGACGAACTAGATGTATTGGCTAATAGACAAAGGTTAGTACTTCATCCTACTATTATCCGATATGCTCCCAAATTCTGCTTATGCGAGAAATGTTGACCACAATGTGCCGATTTTTCACTATATGTGAGTACAGGGTAACAGTCTGTATTACCTATTTACCGATAGGAACCCAGTGAATCTTTGGTTATTATATTGTTAAATAGATACTAGATATATGTATGCAACACGAGTGAGAATGATGGAAAATTATTATATTCTGATAGAGAATGATATACTCCAAAATAGGCTATTTTTGAAGTTTTCGCATTTTTCGCATAATGTCGCATCGGAGGAATCTATAAACGAGTGATCTGAATCAGTTGACATGATGCTGCACAGAAACTACTAACTTAGTATCAGATGCCTATATATAAAATTCAAATCATTAGTTGTAGTTACAAAAAAAAGTCAATACTACAAAATGATGAAAAATGCTATGCATGGTCCCTATAGGTCGAAAAATGACATGTTGTGGCTTCAAAAAAACTATGATGCAGAATGAAAGTCCGTAGGAATTTTTCATCAAAGGTCTTAGGATGTCGAAGTCTTCAATTGCGGAAGGTTTCAGCTTGCCGGATAATACTTCTGTATAAAGTGGGAGATTTCTGGTGGAACTACTCCGGGATCAAAAAAACATCGGCCAAAAGATCGATCGTCAGTTGTTTTCGACATCTAAATCTTGTAAGTAGGATCTGGAAGTACAAATAGTTTTAGACAAAAGTGAAAATTGGAGAGGAAGAAACAACATCGTCGAACTACGGTCTCAGAGGATTGGGGCATGGATTTAATTCAATCACGACAATCGACTGCGAGCTGTTTGCTTCAGTAAATCTTAGAAAATTCAAAATGAAAAATAGAAAGGTCGAATTTTTTTCTAAAATGGTCATCACTGACAATACTATTGACAGATTTTCGTCGATGCATGTGTTGCAGAATAATTGTCAAAGCAGAAGTCAGAAAACGACAACACATCATAACAATATTTAATTCAGTCGAAGATTAAGCTAGTCTTGCCGACGAGCGTTACTTGTTAATATTGTTCAGAAAATGGATGATAAAATCAAGTGTGTTTATGCATTGATCGATAATTCATCATCAACGATTTGTTTAACAATGTTATCAACTTTTTGTCTATGTTTATTTTTTGGTAGTTTTGTACCGTTTTCATCAATAAGTCGTTGTGGATCAACAAGAACATTAATTCGAAGAAAATTCGGTACTGCTGATTTACAAAAATAACAATAAGCTGTTGAAAATGGATACATATGGTTAGGTGCATCTGTAAGTCGGTCACAAACATTTGTATAAAGATCAAAAAGTTTTTCACAAGTTAATTCCTGTTGAATAGATATATTTACTTTTGTTTCATAATTTGATCCATCTAATATAATTAAAGATTCAGGTGTACTTCGTCCACCTCGACGAATATTCCAATCACGTTGTTTATATTCATTCTTAACAGTAACAAAAATATCACCAGCATAAATACCATTCCTATATGAAAATGGTTCAGCTTCAATGGCAACCATACGTGCATATATTTTAAACATATGTTGCCAATCAGTAGGTGTATCATCCATTTGACTAGCTTCTGCTGCTGTCCATTGTTCAATATATTGACCTCGTGTATCAGTTCCACATAGATTTATTGAAGTTGGATAAAAGATTGAATCTAATACAAAACCACACACTGTATAATCAGCATCTATATCGCCTGGACGTGTTTGTGCTTCGATAAATTCTTCAACAACAGCATGTGTTGGCAGATCATCTTCGAGAACATTTTTTTCGATGTAG